TTTGGAACAATAAAATGGGCATTTGTTATGATCTCATAACACTCTACATGGATTATCCAAATTTTTTTTGAGTAAATCTTATGTATACTTACAGTGTATACACTATCACGGTTGGATATACGACACATATATAATATTTGAGTTTCAAAATTAAATTCGAATTATGTGTCATACATCTAATGGTAAAAGTGTATACACTGTCAGTGTATAGAAAATTAATCCAAATTTTTTTAGAGGTCAAAATACATCATCGAATCAGCTGAAGGGTGACGGTTCAAACTTCAAAGTATTCTCTTCTAAATCCATACAAGAATGATGTAAAGCTAATTCTATGCGTTCTTTTGCATGGTTCAAAATTAGTGTTTGTGAGCTGTGTATTTGTTTCTCCAAGTAACTACAAGACTTCGTCTGTTTTCTTTTCTTTTTTTTTTTCTTTTTCTTCTTTTGGTTAAATGAATAACAGTAAGGAAAGAGTGGGACAATGAACCCCTTCCTACCACCATGATAGCTCTTAAGGCTCTATATATAGGTGGTCATTGAGCTTAATCGTTGAGTACAAAAGATACTCTATGGAATAAGCCGACGATATTAATTTTTATGATGCATATGATCAATCATTGATGAAGTCATGAAGTGGTTGTATAAATGTGGATGCCTTTTTGGTCGAACTGTGACCACCAATAATGAAGTCATGACTCAAACTTAGCCTTTCTAAAATATATATTTTGATTTTTTTTAATGATAGGATTTAAGAAGCAAGGAGGATAGAGAAATATAAATTCAAGATTTTTAATTTTTGAGATCTCAACTTTAATCATTAGATCAAAATCTTTTTGGCAACAAATCAAAAATATTTTTTTTGGTTGACAAGGGAACCTGCAATTGCTACTCGAGAGAGAGTGCGTACTAGATGAACCTCACCCAGTGCAATAGCCTACCAACCACAAGAAAGGATAAGTTTTTGGCAACGAATCCAAAATATCTAAACATTTTTTTTCCTGATTGACAAGAGAATCAATGTTTTTAAACCTGGACTGGAGAGTGAATCGAAAAACCTTCTGGTTCACGATTCGACCGGTTCAACCGGTTCAAATGTTTAATAATTTTTTATTCATTTTAGTATTAAAAATTTTGAATAAAACTAAAATATTTATTGTAAAAAATAAATACTTAATAAAAATCGGTTGAACCTCCCGGTTTTTACTGGTTTTGACCGGTTCAACCTGTTATTGATCGGTTCAATTAATTCTTTGGGTTTTTAGTTGAACCGTGAACCGACCATGCCTCCAGTCCGATTTTTAAAACATTGAAGGGAATCTACAACCGCTACTCGAGAATGTGCACTGGGTAAAGTCCGTCCAATGTAATAGCCCATCAATCACACGGAAGGATAAGATGCACTAGGCAAACCCTGTGCGACGGGCAAATGTGCAATGAATCCAAAATATCTAAACATGTTTTTTTTTTAGTTGACAAGGGAACCTGTAGCCGCTATTCAAGAGTGCGTACTGGATAAACTCCATGTAGTGTAATAGCCCACCAATCACACGGAAGGATAAGATACATTAGGCAACCCCTATGCGATGGGTGAATATTCCAGACGAGATTCGAACTTGGGTTGAGAGAAAGGCATGACGCCAACTCTACTATCTTGGAATATCTAAACATGTTGTTACTACGCCACATGGTATAAGAATCAATAATATTTTGAGATCCATCTTGAAATAAATTATTCCCATCGTTTTTAATATATACACATTTATTCAATTCAAGTATCTACTACTTCTATATATCTTTCAATAAATGCATAAACTACCATGGATGTATAATTCTTATACATCAACAGGTCGAATAGAATCACGGTGCATAATTCAGTCAGAACATCTATCTCTTTTGCTTGGTCCTTGATCCTCTCTGTGCATGGCTACTCAGCAAAACACATACACGATCCACGCGTCTGGCCTAGACCCTTGGATTTGCAAAGCAAACATTTTTTAACCATTTCTTACCACAAAAAAGTGTTAGTATCTAATTGATCAGTCTGCCTTATAGCGCACACATGTACCCAAGTACACATCAAATAGATGTGGGAACAGGGCATCTAATTTTGTCAATGCGAATTGGAATTGACCCGAATAATTGTACCGGGTAATGATCTTTAGCATGCGGACATGTTATAAATAGCATAACGTATTTCAACATTAAAATTGAGCAAAATTTTTTCTGGCATGTGGATCATTAGAAAAGTTTCTTTTGGGGCTTATATCTATTTCATTTGGCACAACGAGATGCTCATATCTTCCAGCACAAATAAAAAACCCACAAGCATGTATTTGAGCAAATCATGTTGTCAGAAGAAGATTAGCACACTCCACTTTTGGTCATGTTCAGGTCAAGTACAGAGATACTCTTGAAGCTTGGGACATACATTCAGTATGGTTTTGTAATTTTTTGTGGAAATAGTTCTCTGTATAAGCAATTAAATCGAACATTATGTACTTTTTGGCCAGTTGCTTAGTTTGGTAGATTCTTATCTCTCCTATTCTTTAGTTGTTCTGGATATTAAGTATTAGATACAAGCACCTAATTTGTAATATTTTCCTCCTTTTTAAAGCAGCTGACCTTTTCCCAAAAAATATCAAAATTTATTTTAGATTCAAAAAATAGATAAAAAGCACAGTTTTGAAAACGATGCGTACATTCAAGTCTCAAAATTCATTCATTCGAATAGAAACTGGTCTCCTTGCCTAATGATCACTAATTGTCACACTACAGAAAATGTCACCATAAACTTATTTAAGGAAAAATCGTTCAACTCACATTTTGCTAAATAAATTTTTTCACCATTCACTTTTAAAATGTTAACTTTATGTCCCTTACAAATTTAGGTTAGCAAAATTTGATCCCAATTTAATTTTTCGACCACTTGTTAGTTTGAAATCAGCACATGATGCACATGGAATCATTTTTTAAGTATAGAAAAGTCAAATTCCACAAAATGAATATGGATTGGATCAAACCTCCTTTATTTGAAAAAAAAAATGAATATAGTTTAGACTAGATCCTATTTTTTAGGAGCAAAAATGAATATGGATCAGATCATTTGTTTAACTACAAATAGGATTTAACTTTTTTGCTCATAAAGAAATATTCATATGTGTGTTACGTGATGGATTCGAGATAAAAAGTAATCAAAAAAATTAAGTTGGGATTAAGTTTTGCCATCTTGATTTTGTAAGGGACGTAAAGTTACTATTTTAAAAGTAAAAGACTAAAAAATTTATTTGATGAAATGTGAAAGATATTTTGAACAATTATTCGAATTATTTGAGAATATCATAATAAGATAGTCCCTTCATCCCATTGTAAGTGTCATGCTTTCATTTTAGATTGTCCCAAAATGTTTGTTGTCGTATTGAAATTAAAGCTACATTTGGTCTCTTTTTCCACTGTTATCCCCACCCTTTTCTATATATCATACTGAATTCAAATTTGAAATTTGAATTTTCAAGAGTAACTTTGGAAATAAATCCATTAACATCACCATTAAGTCACTATTTTCAAAAGGTTAGAATCTCGAAATACAATAAATAATTTGGGACGTAGGAGTACAAGTAAAAGGTCAATGCTACACGCTTGTATTCAATTCGGTCCGTGAAGTACGAAATGTAATGAAAGGGAATGTTCTCAACAGCTTCGAGTTTTTCTAATTAACTATCAGCAAGCCTATAAATAAATTTGTTCAGAAAATTAAAAGAGTGCTTTTTTAAAGCTAACATTTGTTGTCAAAAAAAACTCCCAAATGCTGTCTGATACATTCAATTTCTTAATCCATATATGTGTTAGCTTGAAAAAAAAGACAGAAGGAAAAAAAATTCTGGACGACAATAACTTTTAACTGAAAAAAAGTCCAATACTTATTTGAAACTGTTTCGAGCAAGCCCAACTTGTAGGTTGCCACAAAGTGTTAAACTGGTTGAGTAATTATAAAATGAGATTGTGAGTTGAGATTACCACATTTAAATTTTTGGATTAATTTTTTTATACCGTGTCTTCGTAAAAATTTTATTATACTAGTAGGAGTAAATGCATGTCATTTAATCTACAATTAAATTTAAAATTTAACTTTTATACATATGACATGTATCTATACTTATTATTAGAATAAAAAATCTACACACTACTAGTGAATAAAAGATCATCTCATCTCAAGTGTGTTGATCAGTAACAAAGCATAAGATACTGTACGTCACATGTAGTAAAATTCGGAAAGTGTATAGCAGTATATGCTTTAGTCTAGAGGTGAGTTTCTCTCTGTGGCTCTAAACTCTCTTTCAATGCATAGAAAATTGATCCTAGATGTTTAAACCGTTGAAATGATTTAGGTACAAATCTTAAAAACCAGATACCTGAAAAGTTAAAGAGTAGGCATTAGCAACTCTAATGATACGTTCAATTCTTTAATCCATATATTTATCGTCTGGTAGTATAATTAAGAATAAACTTAAAGTACAATTCCCTCTTAAACCATCAATTGGACCGCAGGGTATATATGCAAAGAATGTGATAAATGCCGCTCCATTCTTCACTTTCAGCGCTCCACTGAAGGAAGCTCAAGAACGGAGCGCAGAAGGCTTCTTTTGAAGCGCTGATATCAATCTCCAGACTTCCATCACTTCTGCAAGCGGTACAGAAGCTCAATCATTGCCCTGCTCCAACCTACTAATCTATATAAGATGCCAAAAACCCCTTACCACCTTTCCACAAGAAGAAGCCCACAGCTGCAGTTGTTGAGTGAGAAAGATCCAGTGAGTTCATCCCCCCTTCTATAACTTCTCGTCGTTCATTTCAATAAGGTCTATACTGGAACTACCACATTTCTATCATAAGTTTGATTTGATCTCTCAAGAAAAATCTCTTCATCATTTTCATAGTAATGGAGCCCGTTTATTTATTTTTTATCCAGGTGCAGAAAGTTGCAAGCAGATTTATTTGAGGTGATGGATAATTCAGCTACTTCATGGTTCTCTGATCTGGTAAGAATTAATTCTCCACTTGATAATTACTAGGACCTTGCATCGTAAATAACATGAAGCTTGAAAGTTAAGATGATCTATCTAATTTCATGAACCATTGATTAACCTCTGTTGCCTCTATGATTTTTGTATTTCACGTATAGATATTGGCAGTAGGCACATGCCACAAGATGATTAAACTGTATATGCATTTTCTTTACGATGAATTTGATTCTCTTATATCACACGTACTTGTATCTCTATATTATATCTTATTTTCTTCTTCGCTCATATTTTGAATAACTCAAGTGTCTATATTTTGGCACTTTTTCTATATACATTTGCCAGAACTTTTGCTGGACATTATTTTTTCTTTCTCCCATTGGCTTGTCTATATATTTTTAGTGATTTTCTTTTCTGTAAAGCCGAAATAATGAGGAAATGACTGTACCTGGAGGATGAAAACCACCGACATGGGATGGATGTTATACGAAGCCAATACCCCAAAAAGCTCTCTTGTTTGTTTCTTTATAGCATGTGCCAAAATCCTACCTACTCAAAGGCAAATCTTGATCTGGCTATTCCTAATTATACTTACAAACTTAGTTATAAATGTGTGAAATACATCTACTATCATGAAGCTTGCCACCTTGGATTTATCAGAGACTTCTAAGACAGATGACACCAATTCTTTCCAAAGCATGAATTGGTGACATTCTTTTGCTTTATTAACAGGGAATGGAGGATCCATTTCTGAGTGATCAATGCGACATTATGGACTTCTTTGATGAAGACATCTGTGCTGCACTTGGAAACGACTTTCAGGGTTCTCTGCCTTCAGAAAGCAACTCCCCCTCATGCATTTCCCACCTGATTCCAAGAAGCAGTTCCACTACGGCTTTATGTAATGCATCATCTTCAGCTGTGGAAGTTCCTCAGCCAGCTGCCAACTTGTGTGCATCTTCAGCCATTGAAATTCCTCCAGCTGAAGTTGAAAGACCAGCCAGACAGCTCAAGCGCAACCGCTCCATTCCGGTAATCCTCGCTTTTGGCAACCCTAGTCCTACAGAAACAGTGAATCCTCGACAAGTTAGTCTAGGAGGCTTGAACCCTGAGGATGATGCGGTTTCTGAGGTTTTGACATCCCGTGTTTCGTTTCCAAATCTTGAGGAGGCTACTAAAAGTGCCCCGGCACCTAAGAAAGGTCGTACCAGGCCAGCATCACAAACATATGACCATATTATAGCTGAAAGAAAGCGAAGGGAGCAGCTCAGCCAACGATTTGTGGCTCTTTCAGCCATCGTTCCCGGCCTCAAGAAGGTCTGGATGTATTTTCTTATTCTGATTTTTCTGAGCATTATCTTTTACTTTTTGGGTAAATTACTAATAGCCGCCTATAGTTTCATTTATTATTACATAACACCCCTATTGTTTTACAATATCCAACGCTATGGTTTCATGTAAAATAAAAATTTAACAAAAACTAGTCTATGTAATGTCGTTTGTTGAAATACCAGTGGTACTCTTACTTAAACACTATATCAAATAAGGACTTAACCACTTCGTATAAAAGTACAGGAGAATAAAGTGAATATTTATGCAAACTGTAGAGGATTAAGTGGATATTATGATTTCATCATACGCAATTTTTGGGCACGTGTTGTCTAATTGTTATAATTAATTATGCATTTTATCCATTTTTTACTTTATATAAAATCACAAAGGGATTATGTGACTATTTTGAAAATTTAGAAAGATCATCTGACATTACATAAAATCACATGGGGATTATATTTAATTTACCTTCATTTTACTAGTAATACACATCCATATATAGTAGTTCACAATTGAACGAATGGTTTCCAGATTTTGAATTATTTGGCCTCGATCCCTTTGGTGGCTAGCCAATTATAGGCACACATATAATATAATATCTCAGATCTTCATATCAATCCCACAGCAATTGTTGAATTTGACTCCAGTAAAATTTGACAGAATTTTTTCGTAAAAATGTTAGAGTTTGAATTATTATTAGACATGATTCATGTGAAGTTTAGAAAGATTACAAGTGCTTTCGGCGGCCTGGAAATAATTAGTATGACAAAGTTTGTATAATTAAATGAAGGGAGTATAATTTAACAGATCTTCTTGTCCATTTCACCCAACTGATAATCACAACATTGTATCAAAGCACTGTACCTTTTTGGATTCTTTCACATCCTTTCTAATTTTTTATCAAACCAAATGACAAGCATGTACATATATAGTAAACAATAATCATTGTAGGGTGTACAAGAAACCAAAAAGTGTACGTAAATATTCGTTACCCTCCAGATAATGACCCTATGTCGCATCAATTTACGTAGACCCTTGTTTACATATAAATTTAATCCAAACATTCAAGTATTTTAAGCCAAATGACGAGCATGTAGAGGAGACAAAATTCATTTATGGCAATACAAGTCAACTAAAAAGACTGTGCGAATATCATTACCATCCACATAACCACATCTTTCAATATGTGCATGCCCTGATTTAGATTTAAACTTTATTCAATTTATCTTGACAAAAACTTGTATTTCTTGCAGATGGATAAAACCTCAGTCCTTGGAGATGCCATCACATACTTAAAACATCTCAAGGAAAGAGTCAAGACACTAGAGGAGCAAGCCACAAAGCAGAAAATGCAATCGGTGGTGCTTGTGAAGAAATCCCAACTCGTAGTTGAAGACGAGGGATCTTCGGATGAGCAACGTCCACTACCTGAAATTGAGGCTAAACTTTGTGATAAGAAGGTTCTTCTAAGAGTCCATTGTGAAAATCATAGAGGAGTGCTAGTTAAAGTGCTTTCTGAAATTGAAAAGCTCAATCTTGCTGTTTCTAACACGAGTGTGGCACCATTTGGAAGTTTGGCTCTTGACATTACAATCATTGCTGAGGTGAGATTTTAGATTTTATTTGGAGCTGCCAAAGAATCTTATTAAATTTAGTCTCTTTCACTGATTATGCTCATCATTGAGTGATTTTTCATTTGATTATTCACAGATGGATAAAGAATTCAGCCTGACCATGAAAGAATTGGTTCAAGGTCTTCGATCCGCTCTTCAGCGTGCAGCACGGGATTCTTGAATTCTTGTCAGCTACCTAATGGAAAATATGTACCTACATGGACCGTCTTGTTCTTTTTCTGCTGATTGGTGACTTAAAAGGTCTTGTATTTTGTCATGTGACTACTGAAGGTTTATTATGCTCCATTGGTATTTATTTACTTTTTTTTTTGTTATGAAATAACTAAATGAGATGAATGCCCATTAAATTCTCCCATGTCCATTGAGTTTTCCTATGTCTATTGAATTCCCCCAAAATATAAAAGGATAAAAGAGCTGGTGTGGATGACCATTTAATTTCCCTGTACAATTAATTTCGTAACCTCTCTTATAATTAGAGGTTAACCCTTTAGTTTTCTTATATTCAATGCCTCAATAAATAGAGGTCATTGAACATCTTTTTGTAAGTTTTTGATCATTTGAGTTAATAAAAGAATAATTCTCTACTTTTATCTACTTCTCTCTTGTCTATATCTCTCTTTTATTCCATTCTACATTTTGTTATTTCATTAGTATTCATTTTACAATATTTTTAAATTAATTTCTTTCTTTTTCTTTTTTCTTTTTATTCCCTTGGGAAATCGGTCCTACGGGATAGGATTTTTAAGCGTTGCTTTAAAGTTCAAACATGGAGAAAAGAGTTTAAACAAAAGGACCCAAAAAAAAAAGAAAGGGGAAAACCTTAACTTTTTTTTTTCTGACCAATAATTAGGAAGCAATGCACAAACCAAAGATTCAACACCTGCTCATGTTCAAGTATCAAACTTGAAAATTTGGTTGTCTTATATTGTCTTCACCCGTTAGCCTTGTCCAACGTGATCATGTCACAAGCACCAATAATGAGCTAAATCTTTGTACAGAGATGTTTTGGTCATAAAGCATTACTTTAGAGGACAATTATTATCCACCATAAGATTATCGTGTCTTTTCTTGATAGTTGTAGTCTAAGCTAATTCTAATGATGTATTTGTGTTGCTCATTTTAAAAAGGGTTATTATCACTTTGCCCTCTTAACATTTGGTGTCACTATCAATTTCCCTCTTAAAGTTATTTTCTAGTCACTTTATCCTCAAGCTTAACCGTCAAATTTAACGGAGTTTGTTAATTAAAGGAAAAAGACATGTTTAGCTCTTAAAATTATTTTATCACTTTACCCCTATAAACTGTAGTTTCATTATCAATTTATCATTTAAAGTTATTTTTTTAGACAATTTATCCCACCATTAAACTAATTTAGGAAGTTAAAAAACTTTAGAAAAAAGTACCTTCCTCTTTGTTTAATAAAAACAATAAAAAATTAGATTAGTCTTTTCTACACTGACAGTGTATACACTATCAGCGTTGGATGAATGACAACTATGCAAAATTTGACTTGAAATTCAATTTTTACACACATTTCATGAATTGAACGATGATAGTGTATACACTATCAGTGTAGGAAAGATTTATTCTAAAAAATTTAGAGTGGTTTTTCTCCTTTTTAGTATCAAGAAAAAAAGTTAAAACATTAATCTCTTTCTTCGTGACAATTTTATTAATATTGAAAAGAATAGAAAGAGGGGGAGGGGGAGAGAGAGAGAGAAGAGAACTTAATTCTTTTTTTAAAATACAAATAAGAAAGAATTAAATACTTTTATTAGTTTAAAATTATTTCACTTTTCTGTTTACTACCAAATTTCAATTCTAATCTCGACAACCTTAAAATAATACGATAATATTAGACTCTTCTTTATTTTCTTTCTTTGCAAAATCTAATTTTCTATCTCCTTCTTTCCTATCTCTTTTTCTTTTACTTGTATTAATAAGTGTGAAAACATAAATTTGAAAAAATCCTTTTATTTTTATGTTTTTGAACTCTTAAAGTGAACAAAAAGAAAGAATAATCATTCTAACTTTTTTATTTTTGATTATATATAAAAAGGGTAAATATATTTAAAAATTTTTGACCATACTAATTAGATTAATGATGAGATAAAATATCTAGAAAATAATGTTAGAAATTAAAACGATTGTATCACTATAATTTAAAGAGATATGATAATAACAATGTAGTAATACTATAGAATAAAGGGGTATTTTTGTCCAAAATTTCTTAACATGTTGAATTGAATTATTTATAGGGGTGAAGTGATAAAAAAATAATGTTATGGGGTAAACTGAGAGTAGTGATATAGTTTAAAGGGATAAAGTGATAATAGCTTTCACAAAAATCGACTTAATTCCACTCATGTACGTATGCCCTAGTCCTTGAAAATTATGTTTAATTTCAAAAATTGTTGTCATGATTCCAAAGTTATCATGTTTATGACAGTTACCCCTCAAAGAGCATTTTCTGTTCTTTGTGTAGGCAGGTTAGCTACTGCACCATTACTTAACCCTCGTGGATCCATCGCGGACCCCTGAATGATTTACACTACATAAAGAGTCTTGATACTTTTTGCTTGATAAATGACGGCAACTTAAAGGGTAATCTTCGTAAACAAACTATACTCCATTTCTCAAGGAAAAGGAGTAATGCAGAGTTACTGCAAAATCCTCATCATCAAACATGGAAAGGGATTTGGGTCTTAGGTTTTGTCATTAATTACATGATTGATTAATTATTTCTAAGAGAAAATTATAGTTTTGGTACCAAATGTTTGAGATATCGGCAGTTTTAGTTCTCAAAGTTTGGGCGAAAGCAAATCTAGTGCTAAACGTTTTAATTTTTAAGCACATTTAGTCCAATTGACTGGTTTTGGCAAATTATTACTGGAATTCAGTCACATTTATAGCAAGTACGATGGCTTAATTTTGAAAAAAATTAGAAAAAAGAAAAAAGTGTTGGTGGCCATAAATTGTAATTAAAGGGCACAATTAGTCACGAGCAGAGTAATTAATCTTTACTCTTTAGCTACATGACTACTGTATATGTGAGTAATTAGTGCCCTTTACTTACATATTATGTACAAACATTTTCCTTTTTTTCTAATTTTTTTTTTCAAAAGTCAGCCGATAGTCACGTGCTACTTATGTGACCAAATTCTAGTAACAATTTGACAAAACCAATTAATTGAACTAAATGTGCATAGAAATTGAAACATTTAGTACTCTATTTGCTTTTGTCCAAATTTTAAGGACTAAAACTGCGACGGCTCAAAACATTTGGTATCAAAACTGCAATTTTCTGCCTTATCATCCCTATACTGACTACTAATTCCTAATTGGACAATTGACTTGAGCACCTGGGGGGCCACCTAGGCCATTACTTCCTCCCTTTCATAACTCACAGTTTTTTGTATGAGTGTTTCGATAAATGGACATTACTTCCTCAGTTTCTTCTTTTTTCTCAGGTCCGTCCAATCATCAGAGACCCGAATCTGATGTTCCAATTTTTGCTGCTACCAACCCCTGTCTTGTCCGTCAAAACCGTCTCACGGCAGAATTTGAGATCCATCAATAATCAGTTGGCACCACCTTTGAGAACATAACGGGATCAAGACATCAAGAAGTCTCTTTAACCAGACAGTACCATGTATGCTGACCTCTCAACCCGGAATCAGGAACCTTAATTTCCAAGTTAGCTTATCAAATCTAGCCAGCCCAAAATGTTAACGTGGATATTCCAAAATTCAGTTTGTTGATTATAAATGTTCAAGGTTTGGAGGGTGACGCTGTTTGATTACCAAATTCAACACTTACATTTTATAGATTCACATTTTAACATGTTCGAGACGTGTTTGACCATAAAAAATAGAACATTTGAATTAATTAAGTGACATTAAATTTTCTAGACAAAATTTACTCCAAAAAAAAAGTAAACTATTAACTTATCATTTAATGTAATATATATTTAAATGTATCAAATTTAGTACTTAACAATTCATTAACATAATAGATTCATATTTCAGACTTCAGATTTCAAGAATTATTTTATTTGTACCATAAACATATTTTTTAATTGCACTTTTATATTTTTAATTATCTTTTTATTTCATGTATATTGCATCACAAAATAGTTATAACAATTATTTCATATAATCTCTTCGTAAACAACAGTCTAATATAATCTCTTTGTAAACAACAGTCTAAGGCAAGCAAAAAGTTGTTAATGATCGCTGTTTCTCTCCTGATAGGCTTCTGAAAGGCTCCCGGCCGATACTAATTTGACACCAGCGAAAAAGGACATTTAATTTGAAAATTATAACCTTACTCCAGTTAAAAAGGAGAGGCTGCACCCTCTACTCAATCTTAATCAAACTTTTCCTGATAGTGCCAGCTCACTACCCTGAAAACAAGCCTCCTTTTCGAAACCTCGTAAACTAAATTTGATTTTACTCTTAAACTAAATTTGTAACAAATTCAGAACACCGTAATAATAGATAACAATGTCCAAAATCTTGATGCCAACAATATAATTGAGCCTATCTATATATTTATATATCTATATGTATTGCAGAAGGGGTTATTAGCATAGACCCTCTCAATGGCTTCCAAACTTCTCATTCTTTTTTTTTTTTAGATTTTTGTATTTATTTTAATACATAAAAAGTAGTGGGTTATAACCAACCCTATCACCAGTTAAATTTAAAATTTAAAACATCCCCACTATTTACTTCATAAACCGTTTATAGTTTGTTATTTATACTTTAAATCTTTTTTACTCCTTAATTAAAGACAAATGCTCATTCGTATGCTATTTTAATACAATGTTACATTTTTATAATTAAGAAATATTTGTCACCACACTAACCCTATAACCACCCCTACAAATGAGCTTTGCAAATTACAATCACGTTTCAAAAAAATCACAAATCTACAACTAAATGTAAAGTTGAAGGGTTAAAGTGCAGGTAAATGTAAAGTTAAGGGGTTTACTATATTTAACCCTAAAAAAAATCTCAAGAACATAACAAGTAGTGGGTTATAGATTTTTGTATTTATTTCAATACATAAAAAGTAGTGGGTTATAACCAACCCTATCACCAGTCAAATTTAAAATTTAAAACTTTCCCATAATCTACTTCATAAACCGTTTATAGT